ACGGGATTTATGTTTGGATTTTTAAAACAATTTACTTAGTATTTTTTCTACATTGGGTTTTTTCACGAGAAGGATTTATTAAGTTNGAATTATGGTTTTGTGGAATGATTTAAGACTTGAGTTAGGGAATAAATTATTGATTTTCATAAAAGTATCCGTTAGAGTTGATAGGTTGTTTTCATGACTTGCCGTCTCGGCTAAGTAAGCGAGTCTGGTGTTACACTTGCATGACTCGAAAGGACATGTCTATCTTTCAGAATTGTCTTCCAATGTGGTTCAAAGTATTTATCCTCCAATGTAATTTTTTCTTTCTCTTAAAACCTTTAAAGTTTATGACTCAAGGTTTATAGCTATTTGTTTTATCTTTTCTCATCTTTTATAATCACTCTCAAATGAAATACAACCAGATATTTTAGGAAAAAAAAAACTAAAAAGGCAACACTATACGGATTTTCAGGTTTGGGAATATAAGATCTATTTGGTTATTAAATAAAATCGAGTGCGTTAAGTTCGGATTTTGCAAGTTCGAGTATAGGTTTGAAACCCGATGTGTATTTCTGGTTCGGGTATTTTGAATTTTACTCAAGATACTCAAAATTACCAAAAAAAGATTTCGGATCTGGTTCGATTTAATTATTTTGTACTCAAATTATCTNAAAATATCCAAAAAATAATAAAAAAAAAATTGTAAAAATTCAAATAAAATACAGAAATTGGTTATTTTACCCTAATATATCCACAAACCCCGAATTGACTGAAAAAAACAAAGAAAAACTATAAAAAGTACGTAATCTACATGAACATATCCTGACTTTAAATAAAATATCTTTAGGTTAATTTATGTTTTGACTTTAAATCAAACTTGGTAAGTATCCGCGTTATACGCGGGATAATATGATTAAGGAGTAAAATTAATATAGTTTTAGTTAAAAAAATCAACTATAGCTATTTGAAAAATTATTACACGGAATCCAAAACCCGCTTTAGATATATAAATTTTGTAATTATTGTGTATAGAAATGTATTCTACCCGTGAAATAACTGTAAACATCAGATTTTTAATTTTTTAGTCAATATTTATCACTTGTTAATAAAATGTGTTTATTTAATATCATAATCTTCGAAGATACGGTTTATGACTCAAATATACACAATTGAATATTGCAAATATAAATTGAATCTTATAGGTTTATGGTAATTATAAGAGTAATGACTTGGTTTTAAGAATATAAATTCAGATTTCATTAAGTGGTCATAATATTAAACTTACCATTAAAATTAAACAAAGTTTTTTTCTATTTTGAAAAAAGTATAATTTTAAAAATTTGATTGAAAAGTATAAATCAAATTTATAAATCAATTTTTTGAGAAAAAAATGATATTAAATCTTACCATTAAAATTTTACCATTTAATATAAATTTTTGAATAATTGTTTGAGCCAAGTTTATAAATATCCTAATATGTTTGGCAACGGAGATTATAATAAATTAGAATAAGTTATTTGGAAGTAAATGTGTTTGGCAATGAATATAGTAGAATTAAATAAATAAAAACTAAAAATGTTAAGAAAAATTTTGGGAGTGACACATAAGCAAAATTAGTTTCTAATGTTTCTCCTTTAATATATAAAGGATATTTTTATCTTTAGATTCTGTTCTCGATTCGGTTCCACGTCCGGTTTGGATTTTTTGGTATTAGATGTTGAACATTCAAGTATTTTAGATAATGGTTTGGGATTGGTTTAGGTAATTCGGATCGTGTTCAATTTGATTTTTTTGTTCCGAGTTTTTTCCCAGTATAGGAATTAGGAAATATAGTTTTTAGGTACATCAATGAAAAAAATCATATGCTATTACAAATAGTGTTGCTTTACTATATTATCATACAAAGGCTGAAAATATATCATTTTATCTTGGAATATTTAAACAATCATGAGATCATAATGTTTTGCGACATATCTTGTGTCTAGATAACATCTTCATAAAATGTCTAGTTATGACACTGTACTGTAGGTGTTTCTTTGTTTGTAAGTGTGTTAAGTCATAAAAATGTCTAGTCGCGACACTATATTGTAACATCTTCATAACATGATCTTCGCATCGACAACAGAAGATCTAGTGCGTGGAAAGATTCAGATGTCAGTGGAAGTCAATACATGTGTATACTGTAAGTTTTTGCTAGTTTAACCACCGAAAAAGGTATCTGCTGCGGATCTGCGGTTAGCCAATTAAAATTCTGCAAATATTTAGTGAATACATGCTATCTTGATTTTGATTTACTCAACTTTTGATTTTCGTTATCAAACATATTTTCCATCTATAGTTTTAGGACTCAGTTTAAAGAAATTAATTTAAACTAGAAAACCTAAGCAAAGATCATCACACAAAAAGCTATAGTATTCTACGCGAAATCAACCTTAAGATATATATTTAGACTCTCCCAAAATTAATATGACCAGTAAAATAGAGGAGAATCCTTGATTCTCTGAATCCTCTTCATCTCCTCTCAAATCAAACATTCGTAAACATTGGTCTCTTCTCCAATTTAGAAACCGTT